ACTCAATCCTGCAATGTGTGCAATGCTAAACCCAAGGAAGTGAACAATATTGATTTATTAAAAGCAAAAACTGAGAATGACTTGGCCTTGGGGCTCGGAATTTCAGCTTTGTATTGCTGGTTAAAATGCTTGGAATTTATTCTTCATTTAAGTTATAAATGTGAAAATAAAAAGTATAAGCCAAAAACAATTGAGGAAAAATTATCTGTAGGCTTAAAATAAAAAAAGATTCAGATACTCTTCAGAGAACGGTTAAGCCTATACGTTGATATGCCAAAAACTGAGTCTGGAAATACAAATGACGGCAATACTGCCAGAAGAGCATTTAAAAATAGTGAAGTTTTTTCTGAAATTACTAAAGTTGATAGTGATATAATTAAAAGATTGCATAATATTCTCATAACCATATCTTGTGGATATCCTATCAATATCAATGAATTAGATTTATACTGCACTGAAACGGCTAAACATATAGTGAGTTTATACAACTGGTATGTTATGCTTCCTACTGTACATAAACTGCTACTGCATAGTTTATGTACAGTAAAAACTGTATTTATTTGATATAGTAAATAAATACAGTTTTTACTGTACATAAACTATGCAGTAAATACAGTTTTTACTATATAAATAAATACAGTAAAAACTGTATTTATTTGATATAGAATAACTATGCAGTATCAGTAAACTGATACTGCATAGTTATTCTATATCAAATAAATTACCTTTGCCAATCGGGATGTATTCGGAAGATGCACTAGAGAGTTTAAATAAACAGATAAGAAATTCTAGACTTAAGCACACGGCAAAAATATCAAGGTTAAATACTATGATGAATCAGATACACTACCTTCTAGTTCAGATCCAAAGATCAGATCCAGAAGTATCAAGCATATTTTTTAGAAAACATAAGAGCTATCCAAGAAAACCATTACCAGATGATGTTTTTAAATTAATTGTAATGTAAATTTTTTTTATTTTTTATTTTAATTCACCTCCTCAAGGCCGAGAAGGCCACTACAGACGAGAAGGCCACTACAGACTACTTATTTGTGGCTATAACCCTCTCTCAACTCTATAACTCCGAAACACGAACCTTGATGAACAAGGCCGCTGCGTGGAGAAACGAGTTGAGCGCAGTACTACCAGGGACGTGGTGAGGATCGGACTCGGAACCACTCGCTTATGAAGCGAGCGCTCTACCACTACCGCATATATATGTAAATAATAAACTTAATGTAATAAAATACAGTATTTTTTCTCTATGTATCAACATCCTTTAAAAACCATTTTTATAAAAATATCAAGTAGAGTAATATATCAAAATTATGTGTTTGTCTTGAAGATTCTAAAAGAGTAATATATCTGTAATTTTGTTGAAATTAAAGAATCCTGTAAGGAAGATAATAACAAATTTATGTATATAGTATGTATATATATGAATATAGAAAAATGTAACTCTTTTTATTTAAAATGTTATGTTCTGTACCTTTGTTTATTAATATAAAGAATAGCTTTAAAAACTTGATGTGAATAAATAATCTAATGTAAAAATAGAAAAAATAAATTTATAATGAACTTTTTTAGTATTTTTTTATTTTAAAATTATCTCTGGGTAACTAATGTTTAAGATCACATTGTATTGTTCTTTGTATGTGGGCCTGATTTTTATGTTATTAATGCAAATAAAATAAAAAAAGATTTTTTTTAAATAGTCCATAACATTTTTTTGCAAAATAAAGCAGCTGTAAAATATAGTTTTTTGAAGGATTTTGATGAAAACACTAAAATGGTCTCAACATTCTCGGAGGTCGCAAAATATTTTTCAATATTTGTGAAAATCATGTCCATGCATATACCTAAAACCTTGTACAAAAATTTTCTGAGGAATTTTTTTTTCACCCTAATAGTAATTCCATACCTATATGATAAGCAAAACGTGCTTAAAATATATCAATTTCTTTTCATGCACAATTATGAGTAGCTCAGTTTTTACTCATTTTCTTAAATTCAATTTTCTTGGATTTCTAATATTTTGATGAAATAATTATTGTAGTAATAATAGTAATAATAAACAAATTATATTATATTAAAGTAGTTATTATATATATTATAAAATATTTATAATATTTTATTAAGACAAATTGTACTATATTATAATAGTTATTATATATATTATATTATAATAGTTATAATAATAATATATATATATAATAAATATAAACAAAAAAACTTTTGATATATTGATGCTCTATCTATTCAAACAGCGCTAGTTCGTTTACAAAACTCAAAAACTTTTGGGTGAAAACCAACATACTGTTTTTTACCAGGGTTTTTTTTTTCGATCAGATTAATAAATTAGATCAAATTAATAAATCGTTATTTACAGTAAAAAAAAAAGAAAAGAAAGTAAAGTTGAAAATATTTAAAATTTGTATGTAGTGCGGGCATGTAGAGCATATAGTTGCAGATAATCTGGATGCAGTGATATAGAAAAAAGTGTAGATTAGAAGTAGATAAAGTTAAAGAATGCATTGCAGGTAATATGAAAAAACTTTGGATTTTTAAAGATTTTTTCTAAACAAGTATGAAAGTATATCATCACAAGTGACCCTTATAATTGTACTTTCGTGTTTTGGCAAGAGGAGCATTTTTATGGAGTAAATCCATACTTTCAGCTGGCAGCTTTTCCAGGAAACTTTGAAAACATCTATCCAATTGTCTAGCATAGCACTGGAAGATTCTTATCTAGGTACATTTGAAATTCGATGTTGGGTTGAAACCAAAACCAAAGCATGAACCTCAGAAAAACTTTCAATAGTAGTATTTCGTTTTAAAAGTTATAATCGAAATTAATCAATATAATGTAAATTATATAATTACAAACAAATAATTAGATAATAATTTAACAATTATCATCGCCAAAGTTTCTATTTTACAGATAACTTTGTCAAAAACCACAATTTTAAATAATTTAAATATAGATCAGATAACAAGAATAATATTTAAGAGAACTTTTTTAAAAAGACTGCACTACTAAAAATAAATTTAAAAAATACATCTAACATACTATTTTATTTAATATATACCTTCTTCCAATGTGTTTATCTTCCTCCGGCTGTTTGCCATATAAATTCCACATACCAAGGCCCACAAAGACAAGTTCAGCTCACTAAAGAGCATCATAACCCCTTTGCAGACCAAGAGTAAGTGATTTTTAGAAGAATGAAAAATATTAGAAAGAAAGTTAGAAGTATTCGAGTTAGGAAGTTGGCATTGAGACAGCGGACAGTATTGCACTAGGTAGGAACTCTTGCTACATATAATGTTTTACATAATTTATGTAAATTCTATTTTATATATATATATATATATATATATATATATATATATATATATATATATATATATATATATATATATATATATATACATATATATATATATATATATATATATATATATATATATATATATATATATATATATATATATATATATATATATATATATACACACACACACACTTACTAAAGCGTGTTTTGATAAGCATTTGCTCACTTTTTCTGCTTACCCTAAACCATACTGTTTTTTTCGAAAAAGAAGAAGAAAAAACGAAGAATGATGAATAAAACAATTGCTTCCCTATCTCAAACCCTCAGTCGATGTAGCAGCACTCCACTGCGAGTCAGGCTATTTGTCAGTCGATGTATGTACTGAAGCCCCCACCAGCAGGCTATTTCAGTGTGATGTCAGATTGCTTACCTTAGTACGCAATACTATTTGTATATATATATATATATATATATACACAATAGTTTATATATATATATATATATATATATATATATATATATATATATATATATATATATATATATATATATATATATATATATATTTACAATAATTATATATATATATAAATATATATATATATATATATATATATATATATATATATATATATATATATATATATATATATATATATATATATATATATATGTATATATATATATATGTATATATATATATATATATATTATAACAAATAAATAATCTCAAGTAAATACACTGTCAATTGCAAGATCAATATAATGTCTAAATAAAATTGTAAATAAAACTTGACTTATTAGTAAACAATGTTTTATTTATTTACAATGCTTTTTTTTTGAATTGAATTTTTTAAAGTTCATATTATTTAGTGTTTATTTTATATACTATAAAAACATAACACTAAATAATATGAACTTTAAAAAATTCAATACATAAGAAAAGATTTTTATACCATATAAATCCTATATAAATTAAATAGGATTTATATGGTATAAAATCCTTTCTTATATAGATGTTTATTAAAAATAGGTACTTCTGTAAATTAGTTTCCTATATTATATTATAATTTAGGAAACTAATTTACAGAAGTACCTATTTTTAATTAATACCTATATTTATAACAGCATCCTTAATCTAAATTAAAGACAATTTTTTGTGAATGTACTTTTTTAACAACATATAGCACTTTAGTTCCAGTAAAATATAAATATATTAAAATCTTTAACATGAAACTATATACATTAATTTTTCCTAGTGAAAAAAAAAATATGGCGCTCTGTATTAGAGCTCAGTGAATTAGAGGCTATACTATGTTTAAAGCCTGAAATTCAAAGTTACAGAACTTCTCCATATCATAAATAGGAAAAAAAATCATATAAAACAATATGATTGTTTCAAAAGTTTTAAAAGTATAGGTAAAAGACCCTAATTTATTGAAAACGGATTTTTTTCCGTAACATAACAATGAAAAAATTCTGATAAATACAATAGAGTTTTTTTTACAGTGTAAATAAATACATGATAAAAGCAAAAATATATTTTCTTTTAAATGCTCATTTATTTACATATAACAGTAATTAGATGCATAAAATTAATTCTCTACTAAACATGTATTACTTTTAAAATTCTTAATTACAAAATATAATAATTTTTTTTTATAGGATTACAGTGGTAAGATAGGACCATATCCATACCCTGTTGATCAATTTCAAATGTCCCCATTTATGATGATAAACAAACCACTTATGTTAGGAGGTTTCCAATCTCCAGCTTTGTTAGGTGCTCCACCAGTCTTTTCTCCTCATATAATAGCTCAAAATCCATTTCTTTATGATCCAGGTAAAAATGTTTAAAATATTATAAATATTATAATATGTAAAAAAAAAATATATATATAATAAGTCAGTAATTGGGTTTACATTTTTTGTTTCAGTTGCAATGCACATGAATGCTACTCTGAACCGGAGAAATTATAATGGTAGAGAAGGAAGTTTATATCAAAATTATCATAGAAGTAGTCAACCTTGGAAGAAATACAATGAAACTGACTATGATGAAGATGATTTTTTTGTAAAAATGAATGCTTCCCAAATGATGTCAGCAAAAGAAAAAGAGTGGATTTTTAAAATAAGTCTCATGAGTATACTTAGTGGTGACTGCAACATTTCTGATTTTTATTTTATAGTATGTATATATTGTTTCACTATCCAATTACTTTAGGCTTTACATGCAAAACAAATAATACAAACTTCTGTTTATATCCTTGTATAATTATCTAGTTAAAAAAAAAGAGCTTCATGTTTTACTTCAATTTTCTTAAATAGACCTACTACTTTAGTCAAAGAAGTTTTTGAATATATTGTGTTATGTAAGTTACTTAGTGAATATATGATAATATAAACTTTTTTTTTAGTCTTATATGGAACATAAACAGTTAAAAAAGTCCCAAGATAAACAAACTAACAAAAGCAGTAGCGATGAAGAAGAACTTTGTGAAAATCTAGAGAAAACAAAGCAACTTTTAAGTTATAAAAGCATGCATTCTAAAGAAAGTTACAAACCTGGCATGTTTCTTTTTTTTTTTTTTTTTTTTTGGTAAACAATCAAATTATCAAGCATAGTAATATTTTTATAAATAATATGTTTATATTTATATTTTTCATTATATATTTATATCTGTGAAGTCCCAAAAAGAACTTCAGAGTTTGTTCTCAATTGTTACCTGGAGTTTGTAATCCTTGTAAAACTTCAATAATATATAGAGGTTTATAAACTTATTTGAGAACAAACAGGACTAGGAGTCCTAGAATTTTTATTTGTACCCATAGTCCTTGGCTACTATTTGGGTTTGGGTTTAAAAATTTCTGGACTCTTAACAAACTGTACTTTTTTCTGTATGAAGTTTTGAAGTTCTTAAATATTTTCACAGTTCCAAGGCTTCTTTCCAGGTAAAAAATAATGAATACTTAACTCTAAACTCCAGATATCTTTATTCTGTTTATATTTTTTTAAATACTATTTTTATTATAAAAAATTAAATTTTAGTAAAGTTTGAGGGTTCATTGGGAAAGCTTTCTATAACTTCTGTGCACCATCCACGCCAAATTATGGATTTAGCTTCCTCAGAACAAGATAGTCAGGTAATTTATCAAAGTTTAAAATATTTTCAACATGATGTTGATGTGATAAGAAACTTTACATAATAGTTGCAAAATTGTCAAAGTATATTTTTTAGTAATAAAGATGGATGATTGTTTAAAATGTTTTAGATTTTAACAAAAATGCCTGAATTATCAAAGAAAAAATTTCTTATGTTTGGTCTTATTGAAAAGGTAATTTTTCTCAAATTTTTAAAGTTTTTCTTTTCCCAAATTTTTAAAGTTTTTCTTTTCCCAAAAGTTTTTTTTACATTATTTAATAATGTGGAAATATATAGCTAAATAATTTTTACAAATTTAGATGTATTCCATTTATCTTTCTCTGAGTGATTTGACAAGAAGTTTATTAGATTTGGAGCCTGAGGAGCAGTAATTCTCCTATTTTACTTTTAAAATTTATTTTTAAGTAAATCGTAGAAAATAATTATCTAGTTTATTCATAAAATAAGTTAAAACTTATAGAATGAATTTTATTTAGTTAAATAAATTAAAACTTATAGAATGAATTTTATTTAGAGAATTAGTTCTTCAAAAACGAAGTGAAAAAATAACACAAATATTTTGTATGATGAAGATTGGCTTACACAATACTGATAAAGAAAGGTTTTTCAATAATTTTGTTTTAGCTTGATTTAAATCTGGGTTGTGATTTTATTTCAGACTCAGGTCTAATATATAAAAACATTTAAAAAGGGTCATTTTTTATTCCAAACGCGTCAAATATGCTTATAATAGCTTAGATTTGATAACAATCTTTTTAATACAAAATTAATACTTTACACTAACCAGTAATCACAAGATGCATTTAAGATGTCTAAAAAATGTATTTAAATGTGTTAACACATTTTTTAAACATATTAAATCCATCCAAAACTTACTGGCAGTAATGTAATGGTACAGCACTCTTTGTAAACAAATAATAATGAGTTTTGTTTCCAGTACTAGAGAGTACTGTACTTAACTTGTTTCTTGCAGTGGCTTTATTTGACAAGGTTCTTGCTTCAAAGGGTTCAAACAACAGTTTAAAAATTCCATAAGTAAATTTAAAAAAAAAATTAGTAGCTTCCTCCAATGTGGGAGGAGGAGAGTTTAGTGGTTTTAAGGAGTTAAATAAATAAATATGGCTGTAATGGCGCATTGTTTTTTATTTTATTGTTTAAATATTTTTATAGTGATGCTGAACATTTTTTAAACCTTATGTCGATTTCAAAAGCACGAAAGTTACTTCCCAGAATCTTCTTACTCTTCAACCAGGTAACTGGTTAGATTAATCAAATTTATTATCTGGTTAGATTAACCGCATTTATTATTTGGTTAGATTAACCAAATTTAATATCTGGTTAGATTGGCCAGATTTGTTTTTTCGTTAGATTAACCAGATTAAGTTACTGGATAATCTTTATTTATTACTTTGTTATCAGGTTCAATGCGAGTCTTTAACAGTGGCTCTTATACATTTTTTGCCTCCATTACTAAAGAAAGATACTAAAGAGCAGGTGATTTTGAAAATATTTTAAAAAAAATTTTACTTTAATTCAAAAATAGTAATTTTTATTATTTTTATTGTTATTGTTTAGTAGTTGTTATTATATATATTCTTAAAAGTTTTATTATAAAAATAGTATAAAAATAATAAACTTTTTGTTTTCATTATTTGTAGGCATTTTTGTCATTGGTAGAAAAAATAAGAATCATTCTCGCTAAAAGTAAAGAAACTTTCAAAATAAAATGCATTCGTTTATTAAGAAAAGTTAGCTTAAAAATAATTTTATCTTACCAGGTAAATACATTCAATATATAGATTTATGTATACTTTTTATGTATACTCATTATATATATTCTTATGATCAATTACTTTTATTAAGGTTGATTATTATTAAGGTTATTAAGGTTTTCCATTTTAACATGAGTACCTTTTAAGTAATAATTTATGCTTTTAAAATAACATTTTAAGGGCATAAAACAGTTTTAAACTTGAAAATTGACATGATAAATAATGATTGACAAAAAAAAAAGAACAAGTTACTTCATTAATTTTGTCTTATTTATTTTAATAAAGTCCACAAAAAAAAAATTAAATTATTTTAAAAAAATTTTAAATTGTTTCTTGTTGTTCTTTAGATATAAGTTTCTTTAGTGCAATACTCTTTAGTGCAATACTCTTATATTGTGATTAAGTTTTAAAATTTTGTTTTTACTTTATTAAAATTGTTTATTTACATTTTTAATTTTTAATTTTAACATAAGAAAGTAAGAAAATGTCAGCAAATGTCAATACTGCCTAAACCCAAATTCATTTTTTCATGCATTTTCAGTCACAAACTTTATAGGGGAATATGCCACACATATGTACTATTCTTTTGTATAAAATGTTTTGTTTTTTTTTCATCTCTGTCCAAAGAAAATCAGAATATGTTTAGATATATGGATAAGTATTCCATTAGCATTTTGAACAGTTGTAGTATAATATATTACATGTTTTGTTTTCACAAATTGTTTTTTTTTTTTTTTTTAAACTTAAAAACAAATTAAAAAACTTAAAAACAAAATTCAGTAAAATGAATTTTACTGAATTTTTTTTTTTAGTTAACAAAGTTAGTTGAAGTCGAACATATATCAAATAAAACATATATCAAATAAAAATTATCACAACTGGTTTTTAAAATATGACTTTATTAAAAAAATTACTTGTTGAAAAAACAGTTTTTGTGCTTGTAGCTGTGACTGTGTTGTGTGATAAGACTAAATGAATCTAAAATACTTATTCACCATTCTAGTTTTTCTGAATGATTGGGACCAATGGCTTAATTTATTAAAAACATGTGTAGCTGCACTTCCTGATTTATACCTAATCCATTTGGTTCACAGGGATTTTAATTCTTTTGGTGAAATAGCAAACCAAATATTTTTTGATTCATATTTCTTCATATTGCTTCAAAATATTTTTATTTGACATATAAGATGTAAGTGTATCTTATTGATATACTTACCTGTTTTACAGATTTTCAAACGATAAATACATTCTATTCTGACAGGCAGTCAGTAGTAATATTATTCTATGATTGATAATCAATATGGGATTATTTTGTTCTAGCTTTATTCAATATATTATTCAAGTTTTTATAATGTTTGCCTGTATTATAGGCCTTTTAGTTAGAGATCTATTATATTATTATTTTATTTATTATTATTCAAGTTTTTATAATGTTTAGAGAATTTATAAGTTTTTATTTAGTTTTGTCTGGTTTAGTTTTAATAGTTACTGAGTACCATAAGATCCTCTAGGCACTTTAAACAGTGAGGCAAAGACCTTCATAACTTTTCTCACCAAAGTCTTCATGTAGTGTTTTTGCCAAGTATTTATAATTTCAAATTAATGAGGATAATTCTGTTACTAAAGCTTCAGCATTAAGACCAGTGAATTCAACAATTTGACTTAAACAGGTAACCTTTTTTCTGAAATTTTCTTGAATCTTCTAGGATCAAAGCAAGCAGTGCCTCTAATAAGCTGGTCATTTGATGAAAACTGCTCAGTGATGCTAGAAATTATTTGATCAGTGATTCTTAAAAATTTCAATTCAAAAAGTGTTTGTGGATTTGAAGGTCTTGTAACTTCATCTATTTCTCTAGGCAATTTTTTTTTTTTTTTGTACAGTCCTAATTTCACACGTTGTGCAGTCCTAATTTCACTTAACGCTACCTCAAGATCATTTTGAAGCATCAGCTCATTTACTTTGTTTGGTAAATTTTGATAATCTATAAAATAAACTATGAAACTCAGCCGCTTTTTGTTGTTTGTTATATACATTATCTTAAATAAATTATTGTAAATACCTTTAATACCAAGTTAAACACAAGTTTTACATTTACGAAGGTTACATAGTCATTATATTAGTATGCGAACTTGTGTGTTTATATATATATATTATAATATAGTATAATGAACTTGTATCTTTGTACATAGTACTAAGGTGATAAACTGAAATGATTTATTCTATAACTAAATTTTGTTTTAAAAGCATTGAATTTTTTTTTTAGTTTAGTTTGCAGTTGTTAACAATCGTTCTTAAATCATTTACCATTCGTGACCCTGCAGTGAATTTAGATTGGTAATTATTTTTGAATATTTATATATGTATGTGTGTTTGTATATATTTATTTGTATATATTTATGTACATATGTGTGTTTGTATGTATGTTTGTTAGGGGTGTGCTCTCATGGTCGTCCGGTGGCACGGAACAACTCGTTTTCTCCGAGGGCGACTGAGATTTTTTAGACCAGACAGTTTATTACTTACAAAAGTGTGTTTGTTAATAAAACTATATTTTGATCTATAAAGATTTTTTTCCTTGCAATTATTTAAAAGAAAAGTTTAAAAAGCATTTAAAGTAGTATACACTTTGTTTAACAATGACACTATGGTGCATTATATAATTTTATCAAATTTAATAAAAAGAAGCCAACACGCAATTTAATATTTTGAATTGTGTCTGTACTGAATTTATAAACATTGTTGTTGCATTTTGAAGCACGTTTCTTCTCAATTTAAAATGTGTTTAAAATTACATTTTCTTTCATTTCCAAATGCTATTGTATTCTTTAAACCTTACAGTTTAACCTTCATAAAACCTTATAGCATTTTGAATCATGTGAATGGGCAGTTAAATCATTAATAACACTGAATCTCTTTTGTTTTTCATTATTAAAATAAATTTTTGTTTAACTTTATCAAACAAAATTAGCAAAATAAAAAACATTATTAAGATGCACGTGAAAAATCATTATTAGAATGCAATTAACGATGCAAGTCTTAGTATAATAAAAAATGTTTAAAACATTAAAAAAAATAATGTTAAATTAAATTTGATTGAAGATATTTCAAATATTTTATTTCTCAAATAATTAAAAGAATCATTGCATTTTAAGTGATGTTTATATAGTTTACCTTGGCAATCTAATTTTGGCATCTACTATAGCATATTTATGTAAGCATTTGCTCACATTTCAATACGGCTTTTTTAGAAAAAAAAAAAAAATGAAGAATAATGAATAAAAAGATTGCTGCCCCATGCCAAACCCTCAGTTTATGTAGCAGCACTCTGCTGCGAATCAGACTATTTTTCAGTTGATGTATGTACTGAAGCCCCCGGCAGTAGGCTATTTCAATATGATTTCACACTGCTCACACAGATTTCACTTTCCTAATACACTTTTTGCGCTTATTCTAAAAATGTGCACATTAATTTTTTAATAAAAGAAGAATAATAAAAGAAAAGTTTTCTGTCCCATGCCAAACCCTCAGTCGATGTAGCAGCACTCCTACTAGCAGCAGGCTATAAGATAATCAATATATGCACTGAAACCCATAAGTTCCAAAACTAATTTTTGAAACTGAAGTTCCAAAAATTAGTTTTGGAACATGCATCAATAAAAAAGGTAACCATATTATTGTCATTCCCATTAAAGTTAAAACATTTTTTCAAACTTTAATTTTAGGTTGTTGTGAAAATATAATTTTTAATAAGTTTTTTGTTCTTTGTGCTATATCTTTCTATACAACTTTCTGAAATTTATTTAGAAAGACAAGATATACCTGAACTGGTTATTTTTGAAATCTTCTTGAATGTTTTGAAGAGTATGATTACATTATATGATTCCATTAGGTTTATACATACCTATTATAGTTAAAATAATTGATGTAACGGTCAACAAATAATGCGTGCTGTGACATGGCCTAGTCACAAATGAAACAAAAAGGTCCACAATGTAGTTGACATATGCACTACAATAAAGCAGGTCAGAACTCTGAAAATAACTAAATACTGCCAAATATTCTACAAAAAATTCAGTGCTTTAGTCAAGCGCTTAGCCGAATATTTGGTATTTGACAAAAATCACTATTTGTTTCTCTAATGTATATAACTACTCTAAAATTCTTTATTAAAACTTATTTCATACTTTATATTGTAACATCATTCAGGAGTTGTTTATAATTTCTAAAGGAATAAGAATAAAGGACAAAAAGGGCTCATTTTTTAATTAAAAGATAATAATTAATTGAGGGAGCTTCACACAGGTAATAGCAGGGTGCAAACCCTGCTATACTTTTAACCATGATTTAACTTTTTTTTTAACATCTTTACTTCCAACAAGACTGCAAGCAACCACTATTAGAGTTGGAAGTTACTGGAAAAAAAAAAAGAATTTTCTAAAACATGATTAATGGTTAATAATAATGATAAATTAATGATAAACTAAAGATAATGATTAACAAACCACTTAAAAGATTGCAATATTGTATAAATCAGGATTTCCTGATTTATACAATATTGCAATCTTTTAAGTGGTTTGTTAATCATTATCTTTAGTTTATCATTAATTTATCATTATTATTAATCATTAATCATGTTTTAGAAAATTCATATTTTTTTTCCAGTAACTTCCAACTCTAATAGTGGTTGCTTGCAGTCTTGTTGGAAGTAAAGATGTGAAAAAAAAAAAGTTAAATCATGGTTAAAAGTATAGTAGAGTTTGTATTAATCAAATGTTTTTATAGTTAGATCATCTTTGGTTAATAAATATTTATTCTTTAAACTTTTTAATTAAGGCATCTCTGCCCTATAAAAACTCTTTTTCACACTATAAAAACTATTTTTTTTGTGTAAATTTGATCAAACTTATCATGATTTAACTCTATAAATTGTTTTGTGTAACTGAAACTATTAAAGTTTGACAGCAATCATTATAACAAAGTATTTTTAAATGTTAACAGAACTCATTGACATGGAGAGATTGCCATAATTTTTCTTTTAATATTTTTTTTTAACATTTTTAATAATACTTATTAAACAGTTTACTTGTATTACACTTAAATTGATTTCCCAGTAATGCAAGGTTTATCAAGGAGAAGGGATCAAATTCAAAAGAACTGATGATCGAGGAAAAAAATAGGAGAATAAGAATATTTGAAGCACTTAGCATTAGTCACAGTAAAAAGATGACACTTAGTTAAATGATAAGTAACACAAGAATGAATTTTAGATGTAGAAAGAGAAGCAACATTACGACGATGTGACAATGGTTAAAGGTTGGCTGCAAGAGCAGGTTCAACTATTTTTAAAATGCATTTTTTCATCTAATTTAAAAGAGAAAGGGTTTCATTCAAAGATCTGCTCCAGATATGGCAACAGTATTCCACACAAAGACAAATTTGAGATTTATAGAGATAAAGAATAGAATCCTGAGTAAGAAAGTGGCGAGCACAATAAAGAGATGTAACCTTAGCAGATGCTAGTTTTGCAATAAATTTGATATATGATTTCCTAGAAAAATTGGAAGTAAGAGTTAATCTTAGAAGATGAAGATGACTCATCAAGTACATTACCATTCATAAATATAGGAAGATCTAGATTGTTGTGATAACGATCAGTTGAAAAAAACTGAATTTTATCAGAGTTAAAGTTCCAGCTATTGAGAGCTCCATGCTGTAGCAGAAGTATGATTTTCAAGCTCAAATGTTCCCTCCAAGTGTTGGCTTCTTATCAAGACAAGAATAAATGTTAGTATCATCAGCGAACAATTCCACCTTAGATGTGAGAATTTCTGGTAGATCATTAATGTAAACTAAATAAAGGTTAGGGCTAAGGATAGAACCTTGAGGATCACCTGAAGTTACAGGAAATGAAGAAGAGTGCTGTCCATTGAGGACAACTTATACTAGGATTGGATTATTAGTATAAGTTGTCCTCGATAGGGTAATGTTAGTGTATCAGGTAACATCTTTAAGATTATTGAAAAGATTCAATAATCTTAAAGATGTTACCTGATACACCATAAGAAGAGAACTTATGGAGAAGACCAGCATGCCAAATTTTTATATATTAGAAAGGTTCAGGTTTTAGAAAGCGATGTCGAAAGCAGTAGTCGAAAGCAGTAGTCTTACCTCTCCACATCTATTTAATGCATAATAAAGCGTATCAGTTAATACAGTTAACAAATCAGCAGTAGAAGAAGATCAAAATCCATATTGATTATCAGAAAGTTTCAGATTATCAGAAAGATTCAAGATGAGAGATTAAGTGTTTTTTGACTAAAGACCTTGCTTATGATAGTAAGAAGACTAATGGGACAGTAGTTAGTTAAGTTAGATTGCTCTCCAGAATTTTTGTGAAAACAGGGATAACAGATGCCACTTTCCAGCAGACTGGAAAACAAGACTGATAAGCACTTGTTTAATAGTTTTGAAAGTATAGACGACAGCTCTGACAGTTTAGAGAACACTTTTGCAAGACTATAACAGGCGTGTTGTAGAAGAGTCTAAGCAGAAAATCATTTTAGAAACAGAAGCTGGAGTGATACGATGTCAAGCAATGAATTAACCTGTTTTCTGGCTATATAAAGTAAGATGTGATTAGTGGAATCAAGAGATGATATTGATGAGAAGTTCTTAGCAAACAATTCACCTTTGTCTTTAGGTGAGATAACAAAATCTTAACCATGCAAGAGATTTGCAATAACAGATTTACCATTATTATAGACACTGTTAACGATTCTTCAGAAGTCTCTGGAGCCTAATTTTTAAGATTCAATACAAGATTTTGTGACCTGAGAACAGCAGGCTTTGGCGTTAGACAAAACCTTTTTAAAATGGTTTCTAGCAATGATAAACAGACATCTGTTTTCTAAAAAATTATTTTGGCGATAGATATGGAAGTAATGGTTACGATTGGAAATTGCAGCAGCACAATGAAAGAAAAACTATGGAGAAGATTGAGGCTTGAGTTGGAATTGTTAAGAAGGAATAAAAGATTTCATGCCAGCCTCAATCAAAGAAGTTACATGAGAAGCACATTTGTCAGGAGAAGACAAAAAATTTCTACCTGAGGGCCATCACAAAGAAAATCCTAGTTAGCTTTAAGGTAGTTGTAAGAGGTACTGTGAAGTGGAGTTCTGATGATGAAGAAGAATGAGATAATAGTTTTAAAAAGATCAAACCGTGTTCAGAACCACCTAACGGTGAATGTAGAAAAACTGGGCACATGCTAAGATAAGAAACAAGACAAGTCGTGTAGAGAAAATAAATGGTTAGGATTGTCTGAAAAGCCTGTTGGAATGTTGACTATTTGTTTTAGAGTTTGAAAAAGGCAAAAGTTGTTGGCCTTAATGCCTGCTGAGTTATTTGCACTAGAACCAAGCTCTTGCTCTGTTGTTTGAAATAAATTTGTTTATGCAAAAGTACCATTTTGTTTCAATCAAGCCACTGGTTCCTAAATTCTAATTTAGGAAACCAGTGGCTTGATTCCTTAATCGGAACATTTTGTTTCTTTTAAAAATGAAAAACCAAATAAAATCAACAAAAATTGGTTAAAATTATTTTTATCTTTACTGTGACAATTTAAACAGTTCATTCTAAACTTTTAATAGAATTAATAAAATACCCTATAATAGAATTAAAAAAAAATAATTTAATACAATATAATACCCTAATAATAGAATTAATAATATAATACCTTAGCAAACTAAAATTTTACTCACAAAAATTTTATAAAAGCTTCAACTATTATGAGGTAGACAGATAATGCATAAGAAAGGAGCAAGTTTCATTTGGAGACTTTCTAGCCTGCCCCTTGTGATAAATGTTGAGTTTTGCAGCGTTTCTCTTCACATCATGAATAGAAAATACACTAACCGTTAACTGCCTTAGGTAAAATAACTCTTGCACAGGTATTTTGGGGAGTGAAATGTTTTGCATATAATCTACTGCTAGGGACAAAACATTTACATTTTTTTCTTCCCTAGCGTCCTGTACATTTTGTTTTATGGCTTGGTAAAAATTTTTTGTGCGTCTGTCATGTACTGCCAACTCAGTTACTGCTGTTTGCTTAGCAATTTCACTAAGGTGAGGTGATTTTATCTTTAGCTTTAGTTCTTCGCATATACAACAGGTGTCTACTTGATGTTGCCCGAAACATAAATGAAAGTGCTCATTGTAGTAGTTATAATAACACTTGTAACTGAACTTTACCCCTTCATTTTTTATCATGAATAGTTCATACATTAACTTCACGTTCAAATCTTCACTCAAAAAATACCTTTCCTTTCCGCCATAGTGGATCAGTTTTTTTGGAAAGGAGTCTATGTGAGCGTATACCTTAGCTGGTATATCATGACTGGTAATGTAACTCATATGTACTCCTCTCAAATCTTCAACTGCTTTTCCATCCATTTTTAAACCCCTTACTCTTTGAACCCTCTTTTCTGGCACAGAAAATATTGATAAAATGCCACAACACATACCTGTACTCGTTCATCTCCGATCAAAACATGATACTTAAATTCCTTTTTGTTTCCGCCATTACTTTTTCTTTTTTGTACAGTATCTTTATTAGCATCACAACTTTTTCCTTTGCCATCTCTTGAACCAGGCCTCTTCCTCACAATATCCGTAACATCAATAAAGCCGTGTAAAAATAAATCCTGCTCACCTTTTGTATTGAACTGGCTGTAGAAGTTTATAAATACATCATCAAGGTTGTCTTTGCCAATAGATTGAAAACACTTTCTTAAACAACTGAAAAAAAAAATTTACTTTATAAAAAAATTATAGTTAGCCTAGTCTAGGAAACAAAATAGAGTTTAAGTTAAAATATGATAAGTGATTGTAGACTACCCTAAAAATGTCATTCTATTGTCATAAGCCTACAAATATTTACAACCTAAACAAGCAATCAACAGCTTAGGTTTATAGGCCAACTATAAATTACAGAGCCTAAATCTGACCAAATTTTAGACAAATTATTACAATTTGGCATAGACATATTAATTTAAGAATTATTGCGTACTATCTCTTACCTGCATGGATCTCCGATAGATTTTGCACCAACTTTTTGTCCCCTGTAGTTTTCGTATGCCACACCAGTAAGTCTTGATTTCTTAATCTTGTTCCTTTTATAATCATCTGGGTTTCTTATCTTTTTTTTATAATTTGTATGATCAGACTCACTACCACTATCATCCATTTAAAAAAGCAGTTAATCAACTTAATTCACTATTAAAATCATTAAATGTAATGAATCAACTTTATTCACCACGCTGTTGCACAATCAAAACAACAAAGTAAGGTTACGTTTGGTCCGCTGTCTTCAGTGCAAAGTTTCTTGTTTTTTGTTAAAGTGGCTGAAGTATTGAGTTAGTTCAGAAAATAATTGAAGATGATCTTCATTCAACTTTTGAAGATATAATGGAGTAATCATCTATTAACCAATATACGTTAGGAGAAATCATACATGACTCACTAGGGAAAATTATCACATTGGATATCCCACCAATTAACAGAAAAAAATTAAAATGAGAAGGTTGAAGCTTGTTGTTTATATATATATATATATATATATATATATATATATATATATATATATATATATATATATATATATATATATATATATATATATATATATATATATATATATATATATATATATATATATATATATATATATATATATATATTAGGGCGTCAGGAAAGTTAGTACCCTATTGTTTTTAATAAATAACATCAAAAAAGTGTTTTTGTTAAATGTGGTATACTGAAATATTCCAAGACAATAAACATACCGAATTCACATAGTTATAGTAAACAGTTTGTGTACCTTGTTTATGAAATATTGTTTATATGTATAATTTTTTTAGGATATATTATGAAAATGAAGTCCCAAAAGTATTAAAAGAACTTGATGAAGATCTTGCAATAAGAAATCAATCTGATATTTTATCACTTAAAATTTTACTAGGTATTTAACAGTTGCTGATTAAACTTGAAGAATAAATTGTCTAAATTTTCTATTTTTCTATTTTTTCCGAATGTTACTGTTACAGTAAACTTTTTCACAAGTAAAATGATCAATTATTTTTAAATTATGTATTTTTTATTCCCTTTAAATTATACAAAAATCGTTTATTTTAAATGTGATTTTTATGTTAAAGTGTTGTCCAAATATTTCTTAACTTGAAAAGCCGACATTTTTTATGGCATACTTTATTTTTGTGTTGTGTTGTTTAATCATTAATAAATTAATTTCATAAGATATAAACTTATTTAAACGAATAGTATTCATAGAACTTTAACAAACATTTGCTTTTAAAATTTTGAGGCTGAGTTAAAAATCGTGTTTTTAAATAAATTTTACCTTTTTCATTTTTTTATTTTTTTTTATTATTATTATTATTTTTTTTTTTTTACCAATACATGTGTTTAATATAACTTATTTCTTTACTTGATTTCTTATAATATAATAATAAAATTTGTTCTACAAGTAAATTGTATTTATAACACCCAGTTTATAAATATTTTGTGATATTTACCTATGATGATATTCAAAAATAGAAAAATAATGTTAACATTGATACTCGTTTTTTTAATGTTAAATTAAACTTTCGGGTTTAATAAGAAATTTGCCAAGTTTGCCAATTTTTATATTAATATTGTAGGTCGTCTAATGTTTAAAGTACATACTTAAGGATTGCGAGCTGGGTACTTATTTGCTTTTACACCATATTGTGATTGTTTGACTTTTAGCATTTTCGTAATTTCTAATATTTGTTTGTAAATCAGCTTGATTTAATACAATAATCGGTTGACTTAAATAATTTCAAATCATACTAAATTTTGTATTTTAAAGTTTTCTTTTAAATTTTATTATCTTTCCTCTTAAAACATCTTCTTAACCGAATAAATTATAAGTTATAAATATATAATTATAAGTATAAATTATAAATATATAATTATAATTAAGATTATATTATCATTAAATGCTAAAATAGTTGCTTAAAAAAGCTTTGCGAAGATTAAATTTTATATCTCACATATTAAAAAATTAATTCGAGCACAAAAATCCTCTAGGCATATTAAGTTTATTTTTTTTTCCACTTAGTTGAGTTGTTTAAAGAAATTACAATCGTTTTAATAGTTCTTTTAGACCAAATAGGTAAAGTAGAAAGAACATAAAAAGTGATAATAAATAGTATATAATATATACTCAAACCTTGAAAAAATAACCATATTAAATTCACTGAATGTGAACCACAATTAAATGCAGTCACAAAATGGTTTCTAGAAAATCGACTTCTGGATCTAGAAAACAAACTGGCAAATTTAAAACAATTCTAAAACTACATTCTCTGGAACAATACTAACTACAGTACATTCGGTAAGAAAGTCAGATCGAAGTCACCACTTTCCTATTTACATTAAAATTATTAGCCTTAAAATAACTTCGACTACTCATCCAAAGATAATTAATTTTAAAAAAAACGCCTTATATCAACAATTTACTATTAACTTCTTACAAAAACAATATGAAGATAAATGGGAAAAAGTCTATGAGTGTCAAAATACTAATAAAGCATGTAATGTCATTTTCAATAAATTTAATAAAATAATAAAAACGAAATAGAAAACAATTGCTAACTCTTGATGAATGGATGAACTCTAGTGAAATGTTTAAAAAGAAAACAAAAACTCTATACAAACTTCTCAAAAATAGGATTATTGAAAACGAAAACAAATACAAAACTATAAATACTTTTATCAATGCTCACTCAAAAATGAAAAAAAAAAGAAGCTATTTTACAGTAAAAAAATTAATAAATTTTGATAAAAAAAAAAAAATTATGTAATGTAATTAATAACATAAGGGGTCATAATAAAAGTAGCTCATCACTTCATCTCAAAATTAATAATAATGGTTTTAATGTTCAATTTAAGTTTATTTTGTGACAATGAATTAACGGTACAAGAAATTGAGGACATCCTCATCTTCTTTGAGCCTCTGTTTGTTTATATATATTTTTTTTATTTTATGAAAACTTTTCCTTGTATTTGAAAAAGTCTTTATTTGTTTGTTTTTTGAATTGTATGAGCAGGGAAATATATATTGGAGATAATTATTAAAATTTGTAAAAAAAAAATGCCTACAAATAAAATTAGTAGGTGGCTAGACACCCCTCTAGCCCCCTCCCCTCCCTCGGGACACCTCTGATAATCAAGGCCATACAGAAAATATTGCAACACTCGAAAGTGCATATTTAAACGAACGGATTATTCAATTTCAATCAATCTCCAAAGGTCTTAGAAAATCTGCAATTCGTTTTTGCCAACCATCATGGTTTTTTTCAACCTACTATAATTAAATAGTCAAGTTTTTTTTTCCTTTAAACCTTTACTCAAAATATTATTAAATAAGAATGTATTGAAATTTTCTATTATGCCAGATAGCGGGCGATAACAGCAACAAAAAAGTATATTTTTGGTGTTAGTGGTTTTAATCTCTTTTGTTAAGACTTTGCTATTGTCATCAGAGTTACTCATGTAAGGCCTAATAATGTACTGCAAGTTTTCTTTTATATAAAAAAAGTACATCACCGCCTCTTTTTTTTTGATTTTCGTGCTAGCGGGATCATTTTAAAGCCTCCCAGGTGGAGATTTAAGTAAGATTTGGGGTCATCAGAGTCACACCAAGTTTCAGTTAAGCATATTATGCTAAAAATATTTGAAGTTTCTTTTACAATGTTACATAAGTTGTCAAAATTTTTTTTAAGCTTCTTATATTAAGATAAACAACATTAAAATGATCCCGTCCTAAAAATTCTTTTATTTCCTTGTTATAAAAATACGAGCATTTGCTTTGCAATGCTACTGAATTATTAAAGTAATTTATGTCTGGATCTGAATCAATGTCAATAACTAAATCATTTGTTTGAAATAAATTACATGAGATTGATTCAAAATTGTTTGGGTAATTAGAATCCATTTTATTTTTTATAACTATTTGATAGAAAAAAAAAAAAAAATTTTTTTTGAAAATCAAAAAGCACGAGTAATAAGTTTATTATAAACTACCTTAGCAAATTTACCTTTTGATCTCAAATCGTTCTTTAAATAGTCGTTTTCTTATTTCAATTGTTTTGTCACTAAAGTCTTCATTGACGTAAAGCTTTTCGTTCCATAGTTTTAGTTTAATAAATCGATCCAACACTGTAGTTTTATCTTTGTAATTGAAAAACTTTGCTGCAATTGTTCTACTTTTTTTTTCCATCAGAAGCTTTCCTTCCCGTTCTATGGGCTCTTTCGATTTCTACATCATTTGTAAACCCAAGTTTTGATTTTAAAAAAGTCTGAACTTTTCTTTCACTTTCTTCCCATGTCTCATTCGGCTCTTCTTCAATTCCTGTGAATCTTAAATTACTTCGCCTGCTTTGATCTTCTAATTCTGTAAGTTTATCTTCAATGTTACTATTTTTTAGGTTGGTACAATTTTCTTTTAAGCTGTCACTTTGTTTAGCTACTGTGTATGTTTTCTTTTTTTGTTCTGCAAGTTCGATGTTAATGCTATCGTATTTTATACTTATAAATTCAATAGTTTTTTTTAATTCGCAAACTTCTTTTTACTCTTTTTTTCTTGCATGCTAATTAATTTATGTTATTTATTATTTTACAATAAAATACTGCTTAACAAAGAATCACTGACAAACTTGAATAATAAATATCAAAACTCTTTGATAAAATGTTAAAAAATCTATTTGTTAAATTAAACAATTATTAGAAATTCTTTTAAACTACGTTCTTTCATTACAAAAATCTAAACCAAAACCAAAATGTAATCTAACATTAAAAAAAGAAAAATTATAATTAAAAAAAAAGAATAACATTTTTTATGAATAAATTTTTGAAATGATATTCACATCAATTACAAAGTAAACTGACTTGTTTACACGTGTAGTATATAAAGGTACTCGACGACAAAACTGATTTCAGTCTTCTGCGAGTTCCTATGACTACGTATAAGTAATAACAATCTAACTTTTTTCTCCCTTTTAAAAAAGTATAGTAACTGAAATAGTTCGATAAATTAATACTTATAGAAGTTTATCACTAGACGTAAAAACATGCAAGATATAGTAAAATATTTTTATAATAATATAGAGATATATTTATAGGAGCTTTATGCGTTTTTCGTATTATCTCATTATATTTAAATCATTTTATATCCAAGTTGTATACGACTGTTTCTTGGATATTTACTTTGTATATTTTAGACTTTATGCTTACGATATTTATTATTTTTTATTACATTTAAACCAGTTTGATATATGTTTTAGTTTTTTATTCATAGTGGTAAAGAGTTCATATATATTACTGCTTGAGAGGAATAGGTTGGTATCATCTGCATACATGATACTTATTAGGTTGGAAGCTTTATTCAAATCATTTATATGTATCAGGAAAAGTAGAGGTCCGAGGATTGAACCTTGAGGAACACCGCATACGATATCATGAAAATTATTTTGATAACCATCGTTACTAATTACAAATTGTTTTCTTTTTGTTAAGTAGCTTCTAAACCATTTTAAAGCAGTACCTTTAATTCCATAATATTTAAGTTTTTGCAGTAAAATATAGTGATCTACAGTGTCGAAAGCTTTTGACAGGTCAATGAAGATACCTAACAGGTACTGTGGTTTTTCAAAAGATTTCGAGATTTCATGCACAAACTGGATTATTGCATGCTCCGTTGAGTTACCTTTTTTAAAGCCGAGTTGTTTGTTATATAGTAAGTTTTTTGTTGAGATGTTTGTATATTCTATTAGACATTATTCTTTCTAAAATTTTTGAAAATACCGAAAGAACAGAGATGGGACGATAGTTGCTTATTTTCGATTTGTCACCCTCTTTAAAGAAAGAAGTAATTTTAATTGTTCTGGAAATATTCCTTGGCTAATAGAAGCTTTTGAAACTTTAAAAAGTACATGTTTTAACATATCGAAACAGTCTACAATTACATTTCCATTAATTTCATCTGCTCCTGTTGCTTTGTTTCTTTTCAAGGAATTCAAAGCTACTTCAAATTCCTCAAAAG